AATAGCAAGTTATTGATATAACACTTGTCTATACGGTTTTAATTTTTTTGCCCCATTTCATATATCAGTTTAGAGGTTCGCCTACGCTTCTTTACTAATGAATAATTTCAAGGACCATTACTCTTTAAATTGTGATGACGTCTAATTTTAATGAAGTACCGAGACTAAAATAATTCGCACGTGAGACTCATAAAGAGGTCCGAATCAATAATCGGGATGGTTTATCGATTTTATGGCAAACTGAACGCGGACAACATGAAGGGGAAATAACCATTGAAACTGCTGTGTACACGAAGTTGGTTCGAATTTGTTTTCCGTTAATGATCTCCCTTGTCAGAATTTAAAAAAAAATATTTTGAACTATGATGTCGTTTAATGCTATGGTTTCTGCTTATGTGGGGTTGGGGAAGGGGTTGGTTTGGGTGGATGTGGGAGTGGGGATAGGGTGGTCTATGTGGGGTTGGGATGGTATGGGGGTTGGCGTGGGTTGGCCTGTGGTATTTGTGGGTGAGTTGGGGACGGAGGTGAGGTTGGGGTTGATCGTAGTGGTTGGGTTAGAATGGGTGTGTGTGGAGGGGTTGGGTGGGGACGAATATGGAGTTGGTGTTGTTTTGTGTGGGATGGGGTTGGGGATGGGTAAATGGATAGATGTTGGTCTGGGTGGGGACAACGGTAGGGTGGGTGGGGACGACGGTGGGGTTGGTTTGGGTGGGGTGGGGTGAGGACGACGGTGGGGTGAGGACGACGGTGGGGTGAGGACTACGGAGGGTTGATGTGTGTGGGTGGGAATGGGTGTGGAGGTGGAGCTTACCCTGAGTGGCATGGAGTGTCTGGCACTACAGGCAGCTGTGCATGCCTCCTCACGAGTACACCCCCCCCCCCACACACACACACATCCCCCACTTGTACTCACGTCCAGGCCTATGTTTGTGTGCGTTCATGCGCCCCCCGCGACGTATCGATAAATGATCGATTTCTACACAAGAACAAAAATCGATGGTTCGAGTATACGCTGGGAGTGGCAGCAGAGTGTGTGGGGGTGGGGGCGGTACGATGTTTACGCTAAATTCCTTCTCTTAAAAACTCGACCAGAACAATGAAGTATTGTATCAATTTTTTACTTCAATAACGGAAGCGTTTTATATTCAAGGTTAAGATAAGAGATGCACTTTGGGTCTCGGGTTAGGGTGCCGTCAAGTTAATCATGAGATGGATAAGTGAGATAGTTATAGGATTAATTAAATGATACGCCAAGGTTAATCATGAGATGGATAAGTGATAGTTATGGGATTAGGCAAATAATACGGTTTAGGTATAGGGCAGGGGTTAGGGTAGAGATAATACCTAAAAAAAAAAGTCAGCTCGCATTAGACATACTAAGTTTTGATGGTATTGTCAAATGCTGCTCATGGTAGTGATGACGTCATGTGAACTAGACCACATGCGTAGCGATGACGTCATGGCAAGCAGACGGTAAATTACAGGTTTTAATAGTTTTTAATAATACGGGGGGTGGGAGTGAGTTTAGGTAAGGATAAGGATAACGAAGGACCGCCATCTTTGATACTATACTACATTACATTTAAAAACCACCCAATTCCATTGAATAAAAACTGTTTTAGTCAAGCCAAATGAAGTTAGGTTCTTGTCCTATATTCAACTTCTCATGTGTGTTACACAATAAACTTTAATTATCATTTAGGTTTGACGACTGATATTTCCATGAATGTGATTTTTACAATATTTTTGTTTTGTTTGATGTTAGCCTTGAGATAAAAGTTTGAACTATTGTGTGTTTGACATTTCCCAAAATAGTGTGAGTAGATTTAGTATTTGTCGTGAGCAGAAAAGCGTGTCAGCGTTTAGTAGGAGTTCTAGCAAACGACAAGAGGTCTGTTATCAGACGTAAATCAACGATACGGTGGGGGATTCACGCTCCTGCTATCCCAGCAGCCGATAACAGAGGTCACTTTAGTTTATTCAGCGCGAGATTATGATGCTATAAATAGCCTTCTGAGTATGACGTTGGTTTTTTTTTTTTTTTTTTTTTTTTTTTTTTTTTTTTTTTTTACATAAAATGTAACGGGAATGTTTTGGTTAGTCTTCAATAAGGGAAGCATTAAATTTTGTTAAGTTGACTCGTTGATTCTTATACTAACAGGTTCAGGGATAGGGTTAGGAATAGGAATAATGGCAGGCCTAAGACAATGGTCAGGCCCAAGGTATAGGTTGTGATTGCGATTCAAGCTAAACAACGTTCTTAAAAGGCTGTCAGCTTTAGTTTAAGCATATGGTTGTTATGTACATTCTATAGACGCAGTAGAGTTGTGTTGGTACAGTTTAGTTGGCCATAGACACGGTTTAACATGTGGACGTGACAAAGCATGACATTTAGTTGTCACAAAATTTGATGTTTGGTTGTCACAAAATTTGATATTTGGTTGTCACAAAATTTGATGTTTGGGTGTCACAAAATTTGATATTTGGTTGTCACAAAATTTGATATTTGGTTGTCACAAAATTTGATATTTGGTTGTCACAAAATTTGATATTTGTTTGTCAGAAAATTTGACATTTGTCACAATATTTGACATTTAGTTGTCACAAAATTTGATATTTGGTTGTCACAAAATTTGATATTTGGTTGTTACAAAATGTGATATTTGGTTGTCAGAAAATTTGACATTTAGTTGTCACAAAATTTGATATTTGGTTGTCACAAAATTTGATATTTGGTTGTTACAAAATGTGATATTTGGTTGTCACAAAATTTGACATTTGTCACAATATTTGACATTTAGTTGTCACAAAATTTCATATTTGGTTGTCACAAAATTTAATATTTTGTTGTAACTAAATTCGACATTTCCATGTCACAAGAATTGTGTTTAATCAAGCTTACACAAAGGATCATATTTTAATATATCGCGAGCACTTTCATGTGCAAGACAAACACTCCATTATCCCCCCCCCCCTGTCTATCTTGTCTTCTCTAATTTTTTTCCGCATGGACCGATGAGTCATTTTAATTTCGTGACTGAATTTTTTTCTTCCATACCCGTCACGTCCTCATTCAACGAGACATCCATTTTTTTTAAAAATAATTTTCGTACAGGTTACTGTGTCCTAACTTTGGCTCAAACAAAAAAGTTTTTCAAATTTTCTTTTAAAATTGTAAATTGACACCAGTCATCTATATTTTTTAAAATTTTGAGCACAACTTAATTATCAAGAGGAGTAGTGTTACAGATTTTAAAATAAAACAGGCCAACACGTTGATTACAGTATTAGAATGTAAGTGTTTGAAATTACTAGCATATCTATCAAAGGCTGTCTTCATCTCCACTCCCCCCCCCCCCCCCAACCACACATGCACACACACACACACAAATTTACAATCATCTACAAAACTTTACACGAACTACATATAACACATTCATTGAAACCGAAATTATATTTAGTTTTTATTTATTATATTAATATTTTGCATTAAATTGATGTTATAAATATATGGCCACTAGTTTGCAACTAAAAGGGCGGTAAGTCTGTGTTTACAGAGTTTGTCTGAATTTCATGAATTGTGTCCCTTGACTCGATTTTTCGCTCAGCAAGCCTAATAGTAAAAAAAAATTAAATTTTCAAAACATAGAAGCAATTTAAACTTAATACTAAATTGATTTCAGGTAATAAAAGTTGACACGTACATTCAAATGACATTTGATATTTAACGTTTGACATTTTCCAACTGTAGAGAAATATGAGTAGTGAATGATGTGATATTTATAGGTTTAAAAACTTGCCAAAACTGTCTGGACAAGGCAAATATTTCCATGGTAAAGTTGGGTTAATGTTGCTTGCATACTGGTTTCAGACAAGTTTGTATTTCATGCTTGATGTTTGTATGTCTCAAACTTGCTGTTTGATTCAGATGTGATGTTTTTATATTTCATACTTACTGTTTGCATGTTTCAGGCGTGCTGTTTGTTTGTTTAAGACTTGCTGTTTGTATATTTATTTTATACATTATGTTTGTATATTTCATACATTCTGTTTGTATGCCTCAGACTTGCTGTTTGTATGCCTCAGACTTGCTGTTTGTATGCCTCAGACTTTCTGTTTGTATGCCTCAGACTTACTGTTTGTATACCTCAGACTTACTGTTTGTATGCCTCAGACTTTGTTTGTATGCCTCAGACTTTCTGTTTGTATGCCTCAGACTTTCTGTTTGTATACCTCAGACTTACTGTTTGTATACCTCAGACTTACTGTTTGTATGCCTCAGACTTTGTTTGTATGCCTCAGACTTTCTGTTTGTATGCCTCAGACTTTCTGTTTGTATACCTCAGACTTACTGTTTGTATGCCTCAGACTTTGTTTGTATGCCTCAGACTTTCTGTTTGTATGCCTCAGACTTTCTGTTTGTATACCTCAGACTTACTGTTTGTATACCTCAGACTTACTGTTTGTATGCCTCAGACTTTGTTTGTATGCCTCAGACTTTCTGTTTGTATGCCTCAGACTTTCTGTTTGTATACCTCAGACTTACTGTTTGTATGCCTCAGACTTTGTTTGTATGCCTCAGACTTTCTGTTTGTATACCTCAGACTTTCTGTTTGTATGTTTCAGACTTTCTGTTTGTATGCCTCAGACTTTCTGTTTGTATGCCTCAGACTTTCTGTTTGTATGCTTCAGACTTTCTGTTTGTATGCCTCAGACTTTCTGTTTGTATGCCTCAGACTTTCTGTTTGTTTACCTCAGACTTTCTGTTTGTATACCTCAGCCTTTCTGTTTGTATGTTTCAGACTTTCTGTTTGTATGCCTCAGACTTTCTTTTTGTATGCCTCAGACTTTCTGTTTGTATACCTCAGACTTTCTGTTTGTATACTTCAGACTTTCTGTTTGTATGTTTCAGACTTGCTGTTTGTATGTTTCAGACTTTCTATTTGTATTCCTCAGACTTTCTGTTTGTATGTTTCAGACTTTCTGTTTGTATGTTTCAGACTTGCTGTTCGGCAGCTGCCAGACTGTCTTTACCCGAGCCCTGAAGGGAGAGAACAAGTTTGAGCTGGAGACGAGCCAGATCGAGCGCCTGGAGGACGAGATCCGGCGCCTGATCGAGGCGGGCTTCACGTGGAAGGACGCCTTCACCCAGTGCACGCTCCAGAACGCCCTGCTCGCCTTCAGTCGGGGGCGGAGCTTCAACCGACGCCTGTGTGAGGCCGCGCTGGTTGACGCTGGGGACGGGCCTGACGTCAACGGGGAGATTGCTAACGTCCTGCTCAACCTTTTGGAATCCGGCAAGGTCGATGATCTTCCCCAGAACGATGATCAGGGTGATGATGAGTACGATGTTGACGGGCTTGTCAACTCGAATAAAAGAGATGAGATTGTCCAAGTCCACAAATATTTCGACAAGTCCACCGGTCTGTTCAAGCGGAACCTGTACTATAAGACCCCGTACAGGTACCTCGACCTCAACGATCTACCCGAGACAGAGTATCAACAAGAGCCCACCTACAGAAATCTACAAACAGAAAGCGTGTCCCCTCTTCTAGAAGATTCCACCAACTTGTCTGATAACGATATTATCGACCCCAACTTAGACGACATTAAAGGTAGGTTCAGGGACACTTGCAATAACACTGACATAATGATTCGACATACGAACTAGGTTTGAACGTCTCGAGTTACGAATTGGTTTTCAGACGAAACAGGATCATAGCTATAAAGCAAAACACCATCACTTTCCACCCATATATATATATACATATACATATACATATACATAATATACTTTTATATCCATACACACACACACACATATATATATATGTATATATATATATATATATATATATATATATATATATATATATATATATATATATATATATATATATAATACACAGATTTAACCACTAAAGATTTAATAACTGTATTGCTAGTCCATTAGTTCTAACACCCGAGCTCTGTCATACTATAAAAATATTTTCCTATTAATTGGGTTGTCGCCCCTGGTATAGTCGAGCGGCGTTGACCCGATTGTGAACAGTTTGACGCCTGCCGTCATAAATTTCATCCGGTCACTGGGTGCACTTTGATGCTCTTAATTAGTGCACACCTCGATGGCTCGGTGATCTGGTGCACTAACGTCATTAGCCTGATTCATCATCGCCGCAATTACGCCTGTGATCACAGAAGATGTTAAAGAAAAATAATCCTTAACGTTGTCTCCATCTCCCACTATAAACCATGTATGACGAGCTAGCAAAGAAAAACTTTAGATTTTAAGCTATTTAGTCTCACTTTGTCGTTTTATTGGTAATTATGTTAATTAGTGACGTGACAACGTTAGACTTAGGACAGAAGTGACATAGGGTATGTGTGTGAACATTTTAAATCTATAAATTATAAAATAAAAAGGGTAGTCGATAATTGGTGCCAGTCTGGGAGATATACTTATCTTAGACGTCTAGGTCGTTGTAACCATATAAATTGGCTCGAGGTTCATTGGTAGCCACAGTCTATAGTAGCCAACCTTCAGTAGCCACAACTTGAGGTGGTTAGCCTTTAGCCACATACTTTAATAACCAATCATTAGTAGCCACGGTCTTTGGTAGCCAATCTATGGTAGCCAATCTTTGGTAGCCAGTTTTTGCTAGCCAGTCTTTGCTAGCCAGTATTTTGTACCCACTGTCTTTAGTAACCAGTCTTTGATAACCATTCTAAGGTAGCCACAGCCTTAGCCTACACCAAAAGGTAGCCGTATTTCTGGGTAGACACACTAAGTAAAAAGTACTGGTTGTACTTTGCAGCCTGTAATAAACGAAATAAATTATTGCATTTGTCAAAATGGAGGTAAGTTATTACACTTGTAAGTAAGCTTCCTCTTGTGATAAATAAAGTCAATGATTACATTTTGCTGACGACGGAAGCACCTGCAAGCCAATCTTGTAATGCAAACCAAATACCTGGACAAAATTTTATCACTGCTCAATATTGATTTTTAGCTGTATATCTTCCAGATAATTCTAGATATTTATGGGAGAAACCCAGACAGCCTTTTTTTAACTAGCATTAGTTAAATCAGCAGCTTTTAAAGATCTAGTTGGGTTCCTTAGTCTGATAATTTATGCTGTCTAGTTGAGAAATTTTTTCGTCTCATCATTTATGTATGATAAATTTAGTCCTAGGATAACTTCCATTGGTGACCTTGTTGCTAAGACACCGTTAAGCTTCCATTTTGATTTACTGAGTATCCTCGACCAATCAAAAGTCGCGTATCTAGTAGCGATGGTGACTACGAGCCTCGATCGATCGATTCAATGTATTGGATAAAAAAAAATCATCAGAATCAAGAAGTATGTGAAGCCTTAGAAAACATGATGGTATTTAAAATGCGGGCATAGTTGGAAACATGGGAAATATTGCGTTAACAATTTATGCACAAGCTTAATCAGAGCGTTCGATTTTGTTAGGTTGGACTTTTTTTGGACATTTCTAGGTTGACATTTTTGATGGACATTTTTAATAGACATTGTTATTGACATTTTTAATGGACTTTTTGTTAGACATTTTTTGATGGACATTTTTAATAGACATTTTGTATAGACATTTTTAGTGGACGTTTTGTTAGACATTTTTTGATGGACATTTTTAATAGACATTTTGTATAGACATTTTTAGTGGACATTTTAATGGACATTTTTTAATGGACATTTTAATGGACATTTTTAATGGACATTTTTTTCTGTTACAAATTGTTTGCTCTTGGACATTTAATTTTTTGTTGGACATTTTCTGTTGGACATTATTTTATCTAGGACATTTTTTTTTCTTCACTTTGGTTGCAAGAAGAAAAAGCTATCGATAATGCATGACCTGACCGGTGGGACTGTCGGGGAGTCACGGGGAGAGTCACAACGAGTCACACAATGGATTTACGATAGTTTCCTTTTAACTCGAGCTAAACTCCCACTCTAACTCCCCTCCTCTTTCTCCATTTCGTTGAGTTTTTTTCTCGCTTTTTAAAATCTATAGAGTAGGGTAAGGGAGCAGTTTAAAATGCATTATTTAGTTTTAAAACCAAATTTTATTTTAAATATTTCAGCAACATTTTAGGGCGTTGTTTTTTAAAACACCATTATCCGGAAGAGGAAAAAAAAAGAAAGGTTTTGCCGGCAGTTTTTCACGTGAAAAAAAAATCAATAACCCGGCTGGATTAGTCGGGTTTCCCCTCTCTCCCCTCCTCCAAAGGAGAGGTTTCTATAGGGCTCAAGACCAGTAATGAAGTATCGTGGAGTCTTCCCTTCCTGGGGGCGACAACTCAGCTGGGGCTAGCCAAGGGACACAACCCGCTTTCTCTAACAAGGGAGAAAATACAGCGTCGGCTTGTTCTGCGGATTAAAACTCTTAGCTTTAGTAAGGGGAGGGAATATGCTGGAAAAACTACCTGTCATATTCCTTTTCACTTGACGTTTTCTAACACTCGTCCTCAACTCCAAGCTAGTAAAATTATTCTAACTGCTAATTTCATCTTCTAGTACGTTCGCCGCAGCGCTTCTTGACAATACTCTCAGTTCCTTCCCCTTGTCGTGTAGCCATCCCTGCCCCGCTGTCTAAAGCCGGCTGAGATATATCAAGCAGTGATATTCAAGTCAATTAATCTGATGTCTAGTTGTCCGCAAGTCAATCAGATTTTGTCAGGAGCTGACCGGGTCACGTGACGTCTTCCTGTTGCATTGTTAACATTTGTACAGCCCGTTGTTGACATTGTTAACATTACACTTCACGCTCCGAATTTTTGTTTCTGTAGTTGCAATTTTCGCCACATTTAGCGGAAGCTAACAAGGAAATGTCGCTAAACTAAGTTGATGTCGTCTTTTTTTTCTATTTTTTTTTCTATTTTTTTAACCAACACAAACTCGGGCAGCAATAAAGTGCCTATTTTACAACTAAAAACGAAACATGTTTAATGTGTAGAAAACTCAGCCGCCTAAAGAAAACAAAAAGAAAGCAGAATTCCATCAAGAAAAAAAAATAGTTAGATGTGCGGTAATCGTTGGCAGGTATTAAAAGCCCGCCTTTAGTTAATTACCCCCGGTGACGGATAATGTAATTGAAAGCATTTTATTGATTAGAGTTCATCCTCCCTCCTCATCAACCCCTCTCTCACTCCCTCCCCATTTTCTGTTCGACAGCTTCAAGTTTTAAAAAGACCAGGGCGTATTAAATATTTATATTTTATTAATTTGCCGTCAAATTAAATGCTGAAAAATGAACGTTGGAAGATATAAGGTTGCATTTATCGAAAACTGAGAGGAAAAAATTAGGAAATAAACAAACATGTTTTATAATTAAATCCAGGACGGGGTTTTACGTCCCTTTTGAACAATTATCTCCCCTTGACGTGCTGTAGATGTTGTCATCACCAGACAATAATTGTGTAAATAGCTTTTTCTGTTTCGTCCTGGGTATGTCTGTTGTTCGGGTCTAATTGACGGCTGATGTTCCAGTTATACAACTTTAAAACATGCTGATATTCCAGTTATACAACTTTAAAACATGCTGATATTCCAGTTATAAAACTTTAAAACATGCTGATATTCCAGTTATATAACTTTAAAACATGCTGATATTCCAGTTATACAACTTTAAAACAAGTTGGTATTCCAGTTATACAAATTTGAAACATGTTGATATTCCAGTTATACAACTTTAAAACATGTTGATATTCCAGTTATACAACTTTAAAACATGTTGATATTCCAGTTATACAACTTTGAAACATGTTTTGTTGCTTATAATTTGGCTCAAGCCTATGCCCGTCGCCATTTTGTTTTGGTTTTAAATCTTCCAACCTTCGTAAGACTATGTTGGGCGCCATTTTGTTTAGGATTTAAACCTCTAACATTACGTAGATTATAAAATGCGCCATTTTGATTAAGATTTAAACCTCTAAGCCTACCTAGATTATAATGGTTTAGGATCTAAATCTAATCCTGTAGAATTCAGAGGACACATTGCGTTTGCTTTACCCATTTTATTGACATGCTACTGCTTTGGCCACTAGTTATTGGCATGCTGGCTATTTGTTAACTACTGGATAAAAAATGAATACAGGCTATTTGTCAAATGCTGGCTAGTTGGTTAAATACTATCTCAAGTAATTGGTCTAACCTATAACCACACATTGGTCTGCCGGCTACAGACAAATCAACCGGCTATTTCTCTTGAATCCTAAATGCCAAATAATTTTAAAAAAAACATAATTTGTGTTAACTTTTCTGAGATTTTTATTGACCTTTGCTTTTGACCTTTAGATGAAGACGCAATGAGCCTGCTCTTTGATGACCTTGTCCTATCTCCTGAAGACAAGTTGACCTTGGAAAATCTGCTAAAAGGTGAGACCCTTGTCTTCTACTCGGAAATTTCTAGAAACTACTTGTAGAAATATTCAAAGGACTTTCTCGTCTAACACCTCCCACCCTCCATCCCACACCCACGCTCCCCTGGTCTAGATTAGAAGAACTAGACACTAGCATGCCACAAGAAGCAGACACAGACCAGACGACAAATCGTCAAGCAGTCAAACTAAAATTCACGTCATAAATGACAAGAGAATTTGACATTTACGACTCATACACTCCTCTACCTTTTCAATTTTTGTCATAATTTTTAAACATATTCCTATGTTGCAAATATCTACCTAAATCAATTAATTTGAGAAAACATTGTTAAAATTACAGTAAAACAAACTGTTGTTTACAATGTATTTAAATAAAAGAATAATAATTTCTTAGAAAAGATGTTTTGTATATCTTTGGACAGCGTTCAGTATCGTAACAACCAGTTCTATGAACGATTGTATTCGATGAATGGAAAAAGATAGCTAAGGTGAACCGAAAAATTTACCTCAAGACAATATTACATATAAGGTCTTTAGAAATAAATTGACTGCTTTTCTCTCTGAAATATATTGTTTTTTTTTTTTTAGCTTTGACTGGGATAAGTAAAATTCACCTTTCAACCTGGCGGTCCATGCTTAAGTGAAGTAGAGTTCACCTGTTTCTGTGACCTCGGCCTATGAAGGGATATTGTGGTCAGCACTATATCCATTTGTCTGGGATACTGAAACATTTCCAGTTTATCATTAAGGTCCTATTCTAACCCCCCCCCCCCACACACACACAAACACACACACACACACAAGCACACACAAGAGAACCGAAATTCACCTAGACGTTCACACACAATAATACACAAATATTCAAACAACAACACATGAACAACAAATAAATCCCACACAATAATACACAAATATTCAAACAACAACACATGAACAATAACATAAATCCCACACAAATAATACACAAATATTCAAACAACAACACATGAACAATAACATAAATCCCACACAAATAATACACAAATATTCAAACAACAACACATGAACAATAACATAAATCCCACACAATAATACACAAATATTCAAACAACAACACATGAACAATAACATAAATCCCACACAAATAATACACAGACACGCATAAAGAACACACATACAGAATGAAACACACATGTATAAAAATAAACTTTTTTTAAAATGTATTAAATCTTGAGCTTACACTCCCCAATATTGCTACATTTTTATTCAGTGGTGTACATTCACAAAGATGGCTATAATTTATTCATTTGCTTAAAATCTAAAACAATATTTTAAAATCACGTTGTAGGCGTAATGTTATTTTACTCTTCATAAAACTCAAATCAAGTTATTTATTATTTATGAATCTTTTAGTTTAGGTGTTTGAGAACTTGTTTTCTTCATTAACCATGGGTCTAATAGTTTAGGTGTTTTAGAACTTACTTTCTTCATTACCATGGGTCTTTTAATTCAGGCGTTTGAGAACTTTCTTCATTACGATGGGTCTTTTAGTTCAGGTGTTTGAGAACTTACTTTCTACATTACCATGGGTCTTTTAGTTCAGGTGTTTGAGAACTTACTTTCTTCATTACCATGGGTCTATAGTTCAGGTGTTTGAGAACTTACTTTCTTCATTACCATGGGTCTTTTTATTTAGGTGTTTGAGAACTTTCTTCATTACCATGGGTCTTTTAGTTCAGATGTTTGAGAACTTGTTTTCTTCATTACCATGGGTCTATAGTTCAGGTGTTTGAAAACTTGTGTTCTTCATTACTCATATTTTTGAGCCAGGCTTTACATGTCTGCATCTATACAAGTATCAAGAGTATGATTGTCAAAATGTATAGGTATATTTCTGTGGAGAATAAAAATGTTAAAGTATGTAACATATGTATGTTTAAAAGTACTTTCAAATGATTATGCTTAAAAAAAGCATATCGTAGGTTTTTTTTAAAAAAAAAAACACAATTCCCTCCCTTGATGAAAATAAATCTGTGTACTAAGCCCAACAAGTCTGACGCTGCGGGGCTTCAGGCAACAAATGAACGTCCCCATAACATAGCTGCAATCTTGTAGAAGTTTTGTAGCAGTTTTGTAGAAGTAACATAGCGGCAAGCTAGACTTGTACTTGTAGCAGTAACATAGCGGCAAGCTTGTACTTGTAGCAGTAACATAACGGCAAGCTAGGCTTGTAGCAGTAACATAGTGGCAATCTTGTACTTGTAGCAGTAACATAGCGGCAAGCTAGGCTTGTAGCAGTAACATAGCGGCAAGCTAGGCTTGTAGCAGTAACATAGCGGCAATCTTGTACTTGTAGCAGTAACATAGCGGCAATCTTGTACTTGTAGCAGTAACATAGCGGCAAGCTAAGCTTGTAGCAGTAACATAGCGGCAAGCTAGGCTTGTAGCAGTAACATAGCGGCAATCTTGTACTTGTAGCAGTAACATAGCGGCAAGCTAGGCTTGTAGCAGTAACATAGCGGCAAGCTAGGCTTGTAGCAGTAACATAGCGGCAATCTTGTACTTGTAGCAGTAACATAGCGGCAAGCTAGGCTTGTAGCAGTAACATAGCGGCAAGCTAGGCTTGTAGCAGGCTTTCACTGGCCACATAATGCCTGCATTTTAATCAATACCTGTAGCTTAATCATTGTCTGAAGCTTAATCAATGCTTGCATTATAATCCCTGCCTGCATCTTAATCAATATCTGCTTCTTAATCATATCTGTATCTTAATTAATATCTTATATGTATCTAAACTAATACTTATATCTTGTGCATAGTCTGGATCTTAGATACATACTCGAATCTTAAATACTATTTGTATTTTAGTCAATATCTGCAACTTAACCAAAGCCTACAACAATTTTTAATGTCTACACCTATAGCCAAGGCTTGCTAAATTCATTGCCTAAACCTATAGCCAAGGCCTACATGTAAATCCCATGACTACACCGATAGCCAAAGCCTACAGCTAAATTTAATAACTACAGCTATAGCCAAGGCATACAGCTATATTCAATACCTACACCTACAACTAAAGTCAATGCCTAAAGCTTTATTCAATGCCTACAGCCAGTGCCGGCGCCAGGTTATTTAGCGCCCTAGGCAAAACTTATTAAAACGCCCCCTTTCACACAAATTAATTACTAAAACATATGTATAAGAAAACAATTAATTAAAAGTGACATATTAATTTATTATCAATTACATACACGTTATTAGTAGACATCAAAATCAAATTTTACTTGCCTTCTTCGATGCAAAAGTTTATACTAATTCCTTCAATTCCAGATTGCAAGCGTAATCACATTCTATTGAAATTGTTGTCTACTTTGTACTTTACGACTAAGCCCCCCCCCCCCTCCCCCCACCCTCGGAAGAAAAAAGTCTGGGGGAAAAACACTGAAAAAACCCACAGTTCTTATAGTGTTGGGCTCTCTGCAGAAAGGAACTTACCTCTTTTAAGCTTGACTGTCTTTAGTTATAATTGTAAAATTTCTATTTTGTGTGAATATGTAGCGATTTTTTTTTTTGTTTTTGAAAAATAACAGGTTATAAATCTTATAGATTCCAGCCCACAATTGTTATATATGAATTCTTTAGGAGAGGGTGAAAATTATGAAAAAGACAATTGATTAATTTGCGACTACGACGATTTTAGACGCATTTGTTCCTCATACTGTCTACTATCATTAAGTATTGCAATCTACAACGGCTACTGATGTATTTGTTTTTCAACTTGATAATGCTAAAAAAACCTACCAAACTATTTTCTCTGGAACTTCAGCTCTATATAATTTTTACAGTAGCAAATAATAACTTAAAGTTGTATTTATATGTAAGCGGTCAACCTAAAGTGCAGGAATTTGAAATGAATGTAAAGTTAAGCAACGAATTACCTCCCATTTGGAAATCCAAATACCAAAGCTTCATTCAAGGGAAATAACTTTCACAAGAATAGCTAAATTAACCAAGTGTAACAAAGATATGCTTGAAAAACACAATAAACGCTCTAAATTTCATTACGTAATAATTTTAACAAACCTTTTATATTATTTATGTAACCTTGTCAAAAGAATATATTTTACTCCTTGACTACTTAACTGTAGGTTTTGTTTGAAAGTCTAAATACAGTAGCTTTATTATAACATACTTCTAGTCAATTTTGATGACATACAATTGGTCGATCTGCACTATTCCAATTTAATCAAAATTTTGGTTCCCCTAAATAAAGGGACATTTTTAAAAAAATCAAAATACGGGACTGTTATAAATTCCAGCCTATATAATATATATTAATACTTCAATAGTGGTAATATAGATTTCTAAAAATACTAAAGGTTTTTAAGCTAGAGAACGCCTACCTTTCTTTGGCGTGTGTTCAGTCCTGAATTGAAATCGTCTAACTTACGATACGATACCTAAACATAACTAGACTCGATGCTCCAGAGCTACGACACCAACTCGCTTAACTTCACCAAGCTCTACAAACGATAATTCCAATCAACAACGATTTAATTGAACCTACTACTACACGTTAACAGTCAACACAATTCGATACAAGACTCGATAGTCACGAACTCCAGAACTACGATACCTCATTACCCACATTCTCATTTCTCTACTACCAATCAGATAACACTAGACCTTAAACTACACAGCAGCCAAATAAAAATAACGACACTTTAACACTTCGATACTTTATACCTACGAAACCATACCAGCAACAGTCTTCCGCCGTTACTCCCAAATCTAAACGATTCATGAAAACTTACCAAACAAGTGACAATACTTTGAACACCCCGTCATTACAAAACGTTATAAACTACACCAGAACAGATTTCTTATTCAAAGTTATAGAAAACGAGACAAGCTTTATTAAAAACAAAACAAAAAATGCAACTGTTTTGGAACGCCCGTCATGCGTTGGAGCGATCACTAAATCAACATTAAAATTATATAACCGTTTGAAATGTTCGAAATTTAAATTACGGACTTATTTAATCGTTTTCTACATCAACTATGTGACACCAAAATAAAAATGCAAAGTGACTGGTAAAAATCGCCCAGACATTTCCAAATTAGGGAGGTTGGGTTGCATTTTCACCATCGCGAATAAATATAGGCCGAGACCTAATTTTGGGGTGGGGGTGCAAATTTGATAGTTCGTCCTGGGCGCCGAAATAGATCACTACTCCTTTGTGTATTACCATCTATAGTTTGTAAAAGATAATCAAAGTTATTAATTATTATGTACTTTTTGATAATAGCGATTAAACTTTTGCGCCCCACTTGGGATGGCGCCCTAGGCGACCGCCTAGTTCGCTTTATAGGTAGCGCCGGCACTGCCTACAGCTATATAGCACCATCCTACCCACCGACCTAAATTATTTTTTAACCAGGCACCATCCTACCCTCCCACCTCAGACATAAATTATTTTTTCACCAGGTACCATCCTACCCGCCGACCTAAATTATTTTTTAACCAGGCACCATCCTACCCTCCCACCTCAGACATAAATTATTTTTCCACCAGCTACCATCCTACCCGCCGACCTAAATTATTTTTTTCACCAGGTACCATCCCACTGACCTAAATTATTTTTCCACCAGCTACCATCATACCCACCGACCTAAATTATTTTTTTCACCAGGTACCATTCTACCCACCGACTTAAATCCTAAATTATTTTTCCACAAGCTACCATCCTACCCACTGACCTAAATTATTTTTCCACCAGGTACCATCGTACCCACAGACCTAAATTATTTTTTCACCAGCTACCATCCTACCCACTGACCTAAATTATTTTTCCACCAGGTACCATCGTACCCACAGACCTAAATTATTTTTTCACCAGCTACCATCCTACCCACCGACCTAAATTATTTTTTTCACCAGCTACCATCCTACCCACCGACCTAAATTATTTTTTCCACCAGCTACCATCCTACACACCGTCTAAATTATTTTTTCACCAGGTACCATCCTACCCACTACCTAAATTATTTTTTCACCAGGTACCATCCTACCCTTTAAATTATTTTTTTCACCAGGTACCATCCTACCCACCGACCTCAGCCCACAACAACAAAGACGTCTGCAGAAAGTTGTAGAGGTCATCATTCGCTTACTCGAGTTCAAGGACAATTCATTAACCCCTACGGAAGGTCAAGGTTGGCTGATAATTTACATTTTTTCAATGAACTTATGATCAGTGTAGCAATGTTGCTGTACTTCTGTACCTACTAGGTTTTTTTATAACCCTTACAGAAATATACGCGCCTCCTATGGTAGATATTTTAACCCTAACAGCAATATCTGCTCCTACTATGGTAGATATTTTAACCCTAACAGCAATATCTGCGCCTTCTATGTCAGATATTTTAACCCTAACAGCAATATCTGCGCCTTCTATGGTAGGTATTTAAACCCTATCAGCAATATCTGCACATACTATGGTAGATATTTTAACCCTAACCCTAACGTCTGGACACAAAGTGTTGTAGGTAAACACAAAAAAATGTATCATGTAACTCTAATACGCTGAATACAACCCTAACGACTGACTAGCCCTAACCCTAGCCCTAGACCTAGCCCTAACCCTAACCCGAACCCTAACCCTAGCCCTAGCCCTAACCCTAACCCTAGCCCTAGCCCTAACCCTAACCCTAACCCTAGGCCTAGCCCTAGCCCTAACCCTAACCCTAACCCTAACCCTGACCCTGACCCTGACCCTGACCCTGACCCTGACCCTGACCCTGACCCTAGCCCTAACCCTGACCCAGTGAGGTACGGTAAACCCTTATTTTGTTGTTATCTCAGCCCCAGCCTCTGATGACGACATAGACGCCCTGTCACCTAGCAAACTACTTCTAGCAGAACCGGAAACCCGCCCCCTTCTGTCGCATGACGTCATCGAGCCCCGCCAGGGGGAGCTACTGGGGGAACCCCAGCAGGAGAAGCAACTCTTGAAGGCAGCCGTGGACAACTCTGAGCTCGAGCTTGACAAGAAAACTATTGACACCGATGATAAACTAGAGAAAGGTAAACATAATGTTGTGAAAATCTTCAAGAAAACCATTGACACCGATGATAAACTAGAGAAAGGTAAACAAAATGTTGTGAAAATCTTCAAGAAAACTATAGACACCGATGATAAACTAGAGAAAGGTAAACATAATGTTGTGAAATCTTCAAGAAAACTATTGACACCGATGATAAATTAGAGAAAGGTAAATACAATGTTGTGAATATCTTCAAGAAAACTATTGACACCGATGATAAACTAGAGATAGGTAAACATAATGTTGTGAAAATCTTCAAGAAAACTATTGACACCGATGATAAACTAGAGAAAAGGTAAATACAATGTTGTGAATATCTTGAAGAAAATAGTCCATGAAGACGGAATAGAAATAAATATATTGCTTATTAATTGATGTGATATAAAATGGGTGGAAAGGGGCGTTATAACTTAAATATAGTTTGGTTTAGAGGCAAATAAGGTATCGGTGATGCGGTATTATGTTAAATTAAATATAAATCTAACCTTTGTCGTGCTTTAGATTTGAAAGAATGTGGCCTAGCACAAAAGAAAACACTCTCATGATAAAAACGCACATCCGACTTAAATCTCCATCTCTGTCAATCACTTTAAACTCAGTTACGCCCCTAACATGGCCTCGGTTATGCCCCGTACATGCCCTCGGTTATGCCCCAGACATGCCCCTAGACACGGTCAACAGAAAGGCCGAGGCACTGGAAGAAATTTTATGTCCTCGCACACTCCCCCAACCACACGCACCGCTCACATAACATTGCCAATGCTCCATTCTCCCCCGTCACTGAAGGCTGTTAATGTCTTTGTTGTTAGGGAAGCTCTGGCCAGATTTTCACGCGGTGTGTGCCAAACATGTTTTCATTTGTTGCCAGATAACACTAACCAACTTCAGTCAGATTTCATTTTAGTAATTTTTATAAAAAATTCATAAAAAACGTTTTAATAACAAGCTTTTATGTAATGATGCACTAAAAAGTAGAAAATAAATTATAGACTACTATTTAAATAACTATAAAGAAAAGCGTGGGTCACTTTAGTATCTATTGGATACCTTTACTAATGTTAAGGAAGACACCCACGCTTTTCTTTATAGTTATTTAAATAGTAGTCTATAATTTATTTTCTACTTTTTAGTGCATCATTACATAAAAGCTTGTTATTAAAACGTTTTTTATGAATTTTTTTTTCAGTACTTTACATGTTTTATCTACAATAGAGTTACATGACTAAAAACCATTGCGCGCCTACTGAATATCACGTTCAGTAGGCGCGCAATGGTTTTTGAACGCAGCCATTACGTGGTCGTGATGGCGCAGCTATTGATGACGCGTGTGGTGTGGTTGGCTAGACATGCCTACTAATTCGGTCCAAATTTTAATTAATTCATAAAAAATCAATTAGGCATCCAATTAAGTCAAATTTAGTTTCAGATTGCATTGTCTTCATGTCTTGACCCACGTGCCAAATGTGAATCGTGTCGGTCAAGTAGAACTGTCCGAATTTTCACTCCTGCGTTTCCGTCTAGACAGACAGACTGTCGACTGACGACTGACGAGGAAGTGAGTTAAATAAAAGCTTGTAAAAACCTATAAGATCTTTCACGATTTTATCCTAAAAAGATAGTTCACTTATCTTTACACTATATACTTGTATTTTATCCGTATAGTTAGATTTTTGTTGACTATCTGAAGTAAACAATCCAATTCATAAGAGAAAAAAAAGGTCTATGTTTCCTCATTAGATTATATGCTTACATCAATTTCTGTAAGGTATACACACAAACATATAGTCTCAGTATCCAATCACTGTAAGTTACCCTTTAGAACTTGAAGGTCCACGATGAAGTTGAGTTATATAACCTGTCTGGGATCTGCATTATCCCAGACTGTCCTTACATACCTCAAGTTTTGTCAGTTACCCTTCAGAGGTAGGTGGACAGTGACACCCCACACCAGGAAAAAAATGTTACCCTTCAGAGGAGAGTGGACTCAGTGACACCCCACCCCTAGGAAAAAAATGTTACCCTTCAGAGGAGAGTGGACTTAGTGACATCCCACCCCTAAGAAAAAAATGTTACCCTTCAGAGGTGAGTGGACTCAGTGACACCCCACCCTAGAAAAATAAAATGTTACCCTTTAGAGGTAGGTGGACTCAGTGACATCCCACCCCTAGGAAAAAAAAAACATTCTTATGCCGTTTCTCCACACAATTCGTTAGCTTCACTTTTCGCCGTCTTGCAAGACAGAGAAAAATAAACGGCAGAACATTGTGAGACTGGTTAGGCACAGGACAAAGGACACCCCTGACCTAGCACAGGTCATAGGACACCCCTGGCCTAGCACAGGTCATAGGACACCCCTGACCTAGCAAGGCACAGGACATAGGACACCCCTGGCCCAGCACAGCACAGGTCATAGGACACCCCTGGCCCAGCACAGCACAGGTCATAGGACACCCCTGGCCCAGCACAGCATAGGATATAGGACACCCCTGAACTAACACAGGTCATAGGACACCCCTGGCCCAGCACAGCATAGGACATAGGACACCCCTGAACTAACACAGGTCATAGGACACCCCTGGCCCAGCACAGCATAGGACATAGGACACCCCTGAACTAACACAGGACATAGGACACCCCTGGCCCAGCACAGCATAGGACATAGGACACCCCTGAACTAACACAGGACATAGGACACCCCTGGTCCAGCACAGCATAGGACATAGGACACCCCTGAACTAACACAGGTCATAGGACACCCCTGGCCCAGCACAGCATAGGACATAGGACACCCCTGAACTAACACATGACATAGGACACCCCTGACCTAACACAGCACAGGTCATAGGACACCCCTGACCTAACACAGCACAGGACATAGGACACCCCTGACCTAACACAGCACAGGACATAGGACACCCCTGACCTAACACAGCACAGGTCATAGGACACCCCTGACCCAGCACAGGACATAGGACACCCCTGACCCAGCACAGGACATAGGACACCCCTGACCCAGCACAGGACATAGGACACCCCTGGCCCGGCATAAGACACAGGCCATCATACACGAAACTAATATTCACTTCCTAGCCTCTCTTCCTGCTTGCCTTAGGCAGCCATTTTTCATTTTCTCGCCCGATTACCTCCCATCATAGCAGGAACCGCAACCCATGTCACCCTGGCTGTGTCTTCGCTACTGAGACGAGTTCTACGTCAGCCCTATGCTGGGCTTTTAATATGTCTATCAGGTCTATAGTCTGCACATCATGTGTATAATACGTATATATATATATATATATATATATATATATATATATATATATATATATATATATATATATATATATATATATATATTTATATATATCAGGTTTGTAGGCTGCATAATAGGTTTAAATGTCTATATATCAGGTCTATAGCCTGCACATCATGTTCATAAATTTAGTCTTTATATCAGCATATATATGCTAGGTCTAAGTTAGGAGTATATCTTCTGTGTGTACATCAACACATAATTTAATTATAAATATATCACTTTAATGTGTAAACATATAGGATATTTATTATATATACAATTAAACTGACCAGTTGACTCATCAATTAAACTGACCAGTTGACTCATCAATTAAACTGACCAGTTGACTCATCAATTAAACTGACCAGTTGACTCATCAATTAAACTGACCAGTTGTCTCATCAATTCGACGTTGACTTGTTGGTCCAACAATTTTTATTAACCGAACAACCAAATTGCTGACCTCATTACCAAAACCAATCTTCGTTTTTTGAAGATTTCCAGAAATTACCCCCACACACCCCCACACCCACCCACACGCACCCACACTCCCCCATTTCTCCTTCAACCCCTAAAGCTATTTTTAAATCAAATTGTCGCATTAAAATAAATTCATGCTCTGCGAGACTCCATTATTAGAAAAAAAATTTAAGTGGACATTTTCCAAGACTTCACGGCGAACTGTTTCATTACCATCACACAGATTCTCAGGATTCTTCTTGATTCGAATAAAAGACAATTACATTTGTTTAGTCTTGGTTTTTATTCTTTTTATTTTTTTTCTTCACTTTCATTTCGATTTCTAGCACCGCCGATTCTTTCTTATAAACAATCGGTTTTAACTTAATACAAGCTTTACCAAGGCATGGAGGAATATATTCCACCTCATTACATTGTTTAATGATTTCCCTTTTATATTTAAATGGAGTTGTGTCCCCTGAGGTAAGGAAAGACAACTTCTGAAGTCCGAGTCACAGTTTTCGTTCGATTGGTTAATTTTAAATTGCGTTCGTTCTGTGTAGTTGATTTAGAGTGCGGGGAATATGTTGTAGTTGAGGTTTGTGATGGTGTTGGTTGATGGTGTAGGCTGATGGCGTTGGTTGATACTGTAGGTTGATGATGTTGGTTGATAGTGTAGGCTGATGGCGTATGCTGATGGTGTAGGTTGATGGCGTAGGCTGATGGTGTTGGTTGGTGGTGTGGGATGATAATGTTGGTTGATGTTTGCAGACTGAGATTGGTCTCGAATTGTGAAGTGGGTTACGGTTTTGTAAGCGAAGTGTGTTACTAGGATGAAAGCTAGAGTTAACACTAGACTAGCAATATCCTGGTAGCACTAATACCGGTAGCACTAACCCAGCTAGCCCTAATCCAGGTAGCAGTAGCCCACGTAGCACTAGCCGAGGTAGCACTTAACCAGGTAGCCCTAACTCAGGTAGCACTAACCCAGGTAGCACTGACACCGGTAACACTAAACTCAGGTATCAATAAACCAGGTAGCACTAAACCAGGTAGCACTTACCCAAGTAGTACTGACACCGGTAGCACTAAATCTAGGTAGCACTAGCCTAGGTAGCACTGACACCGGTAGCACTAACTTAAAGCATACCTCAAACCACAGTGCTACACCTGTACCTACCTGCAACTGAGCCACTTACCTTTACATTGTCATGACCTAGTAATTA